ACTTGGTACACTTTTTCTTCAGTTTGGAAACTTGTGTCTCTTACCAGCTCTGGAAAAGTTTTTCATATTATTTCATTGATCATTTTCTCTTTATTCTCTTTTTCTGGAAATACTACTGGTTGGATATGGATCATTTGACCTTTTTTTTTTTTTTAAGCATTTTTTTCCTCTTTTTTCCTTTTGGGGAGGAATTAATTATGCACATGTGTTTGCTAACATTTCTACTGAAAAATGTTTTTGCAACTATGCATATGATTTTCCAAAGCTCTTTCTTCTGAGGATGATTCCTTTATCAGAGCAATCTTTGAATTTATGGATGCAACGTCTTCTGAAAATGTCCTTGAAGATACTCATGAACATTTGTTAAAGCTATTTTTTCTACTCTGATTTATCTATATCCTCTGTGGTAGGTTTTCTTTCCTTTTTTTTACAAAATTTTTTCATTGTGCCGAAGTCTTCATGTCTTAGTTCATGTCTCCATTCAGCATGGCTGTTAAGGGGAAAAACAGGAAAAATGTGAATTCTGTGCGTATGGGCAGTGTTTGTCAACTGATAGGCTTTATTCTAGGCACTTGAGTGGGGAGCTGCCTTTTATGCAGAAGGTCTTTCCCCCTAAATATCAGAACATGTAAGTTCTTTACCATGTTCGTGTCAAGTCTATACTGAAAGCCCAAGTTCTCCTCAAATAACTTGTGCTTTTTAACTCCTTTAATATATAGGAGTATATGGAACAATTTTTTATTTTCTTTGGCTATTTGACAACTTTGGATATTTTGTCTCTGTTTGGGGATTTCCCTACCTTATAAATCCCTATTTTCCCAAGTTTCCTGGCTGCCTATATGTAGACTGTGAACTAGGCTGAATCAGTGAGAGGCATTCATGCCAAATCTTAGATCAGAAATGTGGGATATGGAAGAACAGATGAGCTCAGAGGAACTCAGAGGTAGTAGGCATTGAGGCTTCAGTCATAACATGCAATGTCTTAGCATGGTAGCAGGGTTATCTTTTCTAGAGCAATTTTCATGGGATTTTGGGTGAGGTTCTTGGCTATGTGCTTTATTAGTCAGTTCTCTGACTGTCACTGAGGTTCTGTGAGGTACCCAATAATTTTACTAATTTTTTTTTCTATTAAACTAGCCAGAGTTGTTTCTCTTGTTTGTAAATCACTCCTCTGACAGTTACAGGGAGTTAGATTTGGCTGCTGTGAATTGTTCATGAGGGGATAAAGAAAGTCAGATAATTCATATGCAGACCAAAACCGTCTCTTTTGGCCCCACATCACCCTACCCTTTACCATTCAGAACATTTCCAGGGTTTTGCTAAATAAATTTGTTCCTTCGTTGATGACAGCCCCTTCCCCAAATATCCTACGTAGTCACTTCCTTCATTCTACTTCATTAATCTTTGCTTCATTTTCCAGAAATTTGTTTAAATCTCTCTTTTGCTGCTGGTCCCCTCTCATTCTCTGTTCTACTGGTTGATAATGATTTACTTCACTGTAATACTAAAGACATCTCAGGAGTAAGAGAAGATCAGTTTATTTCTTCAGTTTGTCATCTTGAATGTGAAGTCCCATGCTACTTTACGCATATTGGTATTATAGAACTTTGATATATAAAAAAGTCATAAAACAATGTTACTTGTTAAAATAAATGATGATTTCTTATTAATTTTTATATTTCTAGTCCCTTGTGTGGTAACTTATATTGTACCAAATAGTTAGCTAATAATTAAATGAGTTAATTTATGTACAGATTTTTAAATTACTTTGTAGGTAAGATGCCTATTCTTACTCAACTTTGTTGACTTTCTGGTACCTAAGTCTCTGAATTCTAGCTTATCCCTCTGTATTTTCAAGGAAGTAATGTGCAACAAGATCACATAATTAGAGTCATATCAGGAATTAAAACACTTGAAATTAAGTTTTCAAAGTGACAAATGCTTATGCCAAGATGATGGAAGGTTTTTTGTTTTTGTTTTTAATTTTAAAGTAAGTCTTTAACAGCTACTTGATGGGAAGGAATAGCATGACCAATTTCTGTCTTAAGTGAAGAATGACAAGGTTAGTAGAGATAGACCAGGCTATATTTATTTTGACACTTGAAGAAATAGGGTTTTTCATTTATATTTAAATAAAATACTTAAATAGTGTTGTTTCAGTGAAAAATGGGCACCTCTCTAGCGGAAAGTAAAAGCAAGAATTAGTGGCAGATGGCGCTCATTGAGTTTACTCATCAAGGCAACAGAATTGTCAGAATTGCTTTTCTAACTCATAAACTTTTCTACAAACCTAGAGACTTTGTGAGATCATTGGAGCAAGTTGTAAATAATTTCCTTTCTTCCACTCAAACACTAATTGAGACTATTCTGCTTTATATTTAAGTAGAATTTGATACATAAAGATACACAAAGAATTTTCTATGATAGAAGTTAAGTCTGATTTTCTTCTGAAAACCCATAATATGATAATTCAGGAGAATATAGATTTTGATTTTTCCTTTTGTTTGAAGTTTATAATAATAACTCAAGAATCAGTGATGTGTTTAATATGCTTACTCTGGTGTATTATGAAAATTGAATTACGGACTGCACATCTAGGTGTTATGGATGGCTCATTTAGATCAGTCTATGAATGAATCTTCGTATATTTTATGAAGATTTCAAATAAAACACATTATTCATCTTAACTGTCAACATAGAATGACTATATTCCAGGGGGAACGTTAGGCAATATAATCTCAAACTCCTCATAGCTTGATGTTTATCAGTGGCTCAATTTATAGGAGCTATACTTATGGAGGATTGCCTGAGGAATGTGGACTCCATTTATTTATCTACATCAGGAACTCTTAATCTGGGAGCTTTGGATAAATTTCAGAGAGTGTGTTAACCCCCTGAAATTATAGCCCTAGTTTTGGGTGTATGTGTCTCCTCCTGGCAATTGGTACCTTGCTCTTACCAAATTCTCAACAATATCCATATTTATTTATTGTTTTAAAAGGTTTTATTTATTTGTGTGAGAGGGAGAGTGAGGGAAGGGAGGGGCAGGGAGAGAGGGAGAAAGAATCCCAAGCAGACTCTGCTATGCAGCTCTACATGGGGCTTGATCTCACAACCCTGATACCATGATCTGAGCCGAAATCAAGAGTCTGACACTTAGCCGACTGAGCCACTCAGGCACCCCAACAAGATCCATATTTAAAAATGGTTAAGGGGGCGCCTGGCAACAATCAGTTTGTTCTCTGTATTTATGTCTGATTCTGCTTTCTGTTTGTTTATTCATTTGTTTTGTTTTTTTTTAGGTTCCACATATGAGTGAAATCACATGGTATTTGTCTTTCTCAGTCTGACTTATGACACTTAGCATCTATGTTGTCCATCCATGTTTCACAAATGGCAAGATTTCTTCCTTTTTAATGGCTGCATAATATTCCTCTCTCTGTGTGTGTGTGTGTGTGTGTGTGTGTGTGTGGTGTGTGTGTGACATCTTTGTTATCCATAGAATGCATCTTTTGAAGATTGTTATTTTCTTAGTATGATGCCGCCAGACTATTTTGAAGAATATTTCAAGAGTCATATCATGCCATTCATTCATTCACTCATTCATTCAGCATTCATACAGAAAGCACCTAGTAGGTGACAGGCAGGCTTCTGAGTGTGAAGGATATAATGATGAAAAGGAAATAGTAAAAAGAATCTCTTGGTCTAGTGGAGTTTACATTCTAGTGGGGAGAGTTAGACAATAAGCAAGAAAAACAAGAAGTCATATTCACATTAGGTAGTATGATAAGTGTGATAAGGAGAAAATTCAGCAGTAACAGCAGATATGCGTGTTGGGGTGGGGAAGGTGTTGAAATTTTAGATGGGCTAGTCAGGAAAGATTTTATTTATTTGTGTGAGAGGGAGAGTGATGGGCTAGTCAGGAAAGGTTCCGAGAAGGTGACTTGAACAAAGGAAGAGCAGTAGTTGATGAGGTCAGAGGGGCACTCGAGATCCAGGACATTGTAGCTCTGTGCAGGACTCAGACTTGTACTCAGAGTGAAAAGGAGAGTACTATAGTGTTTGGGGCAAGCCAGACATGATCTAGACCACTCTAGATGCTGCACTGAGAATAGACTGAACTGGAGAGGAAGGGTAGCAGCAGGGAGACCAGTTAGGAGGTACTTCTGACTGTCCAGGGAAGAGATAATGGTGGCTTAGAATAGAGTACTAGCAGTGGAGGGGCTGAGAAACTGTTGAATTGTGTGACGTTTCCATGAAAGTCTGGTACTGTTAGGATGTTCATGAGGATGTTACCTGTTTTGAATTTACTCAGGCAAAAATTTCTTTCTGTTCTTAGTGTTAGGATTATTTGAACATTTCCCCTAAGCTGTTGGTTTCGTTTTCAAAGTACTCTGAAGGGGCGCCTGGCTGGCTCAGTCGGTAGAGCATGCAACTCTTGATCTCGGGGTTGTGGGTTCAAGCCCCATGTTGGGTGTAGAGATTACTTAAAAGTACTCTGAATTTATGGTTGAACAATTTGATCATAAGAAAGCATAAAGGAAATTAATAGTTCATCTTTAAAAAGTGAATTTAACTGAATGGTATTTTGTATATTACACTTATTTTGGTCTTCTTACCATTAGTTTTCCCTTTGCTTGTTTTTTTTCCTCACAGTTTAAAGATTTCTGCCCTTTTTTGGGGGGGGTATTATTTGTGTTTTTGTAAACCTCTTTATGTTCCTTTCTGGTACAATGTAGGGTCATATAAATATTTGCCTCATTGAGTCTATATCAGGGACCATATTTCACACTCTCTTCAAGGTTGCATCTATGCCCTTTTCACTTTTGTGATTGTTTCTCTGTTATGTAAGAGTGAAACCTGCCTGCAAGAATTCAAACCATAAGAATAGTTTGTGTTTTGCATGGAACATTAAATAAAAGAACGCTTGTCTTATATAAGCAAAAACAACTGATCTATTCGGTCATTTGACTCAGCAGATCAGTTGAGTTAAAAGTGAGTCAAATCAATTGTTGGACTGAATTATTTGCCACCAGTTGGTTCATTCAAAACACTTAGTCTGGTATGTTGTATCTGTGACACATCCTGACTATGAAACTTGCACTTGGGTTTATTTTAGGAGATATTTTTTGAAAGTTTTTATTTAAATTCCAGTTAGTTAACATACAGTGTAATATTAGTTTCAGGTATAGAATTTAGTGATTTAACACCTCCATACAACAGCCGGTGCTCAACACAAGTGCAATCTTAATCCCCATCACTTATTTCACCCATTCCCCGCCCCCCCCCCAGCAACCTCCCCTTAGGAGAGAATTTTGCATCAGAAACAGGTATCAAAAAATTCATATGACTCGATAATGAGGAGTCCAAAGGCTGAACAGACGTTTAGAAATCCTAAAGACACATTGTGATATCAGTGTATAAAGAACCAAACTTCTGACGAAAAACCGAGAGACTGAAAAACAAATTGATCAGGCTGTAAAATGTTTATGCTCATCCCTTTTCTTCCCGGGAGTTATTAAGTCGGGAACTAAACAAACATGTTTTCCTGTTTACTCATCACATGGTACCAATTCTCAGATGTGACTTATGAGACATGTTTCTCACTTCGTATTTTATAATATTCTTTGTGGTAAAGCTGTGACTTCTATTTTAAAATAAAATCTCTCAGAATCATGAGAAGCTCTGAAAGGGATTGTACAGCTCATCCATCAGGGGGATTTGTAAACGAGGAACCTGAGGTCTAGAGTGTTGAAGTCCCAAGTCCTACAGCTGATTAGTTGAAGATACTAGATTGGCACTCAAGACTCCTGACACCTAATTCAGAACTTTTAACCTCAGATTAACGTTGTGTAGTGAACTGAATCCCCAATTTGAGATAACAAAAAATACTGGAACAACAAAAGCCTTTAGGCTTTCATTACAAATCGAAGCCCAATATATTAAAATTACGCTGCCATTCTAATTCATGATGTCCTAGTATGAGCAATCTTATTCAAGATGTATTTCAAATTGAGTAGACTTCATGGGAAAGCTTGTCTCTTGAAGTCACCCTATCATTTGGATATATTAAGCCATCAACCTTTCCTTAGATTACTCTGATAACTCTCCAGTGTGAGTATTACTGCATCTGCAAATAAACACTAGGCGTTTCCAAAAGCATACAGGGAAATTTCGTCATCTTTATTGGAAATAAATATACGGTCAATACCTATGCTGTAACTGTTTGGCTTTGTAGTATCACAGTAAATGTAATGGCTTTAGAAAATAAGAGAAATTTAGGAACTGAGTATAAAAAAATTAATGTTAGATTGTGTACATATTGAATCAAACTTACGAACACTTTTGTTTAGTAAAAAATTTGGTCTTATCCTGTGATGCCTGTCCTGGTTTGTCATGGCATAAAGGAACATTAAAGATTTTTTGAATATGCCATATATGAATATGTGGCTTATATTTTAACTGTGTAAGATAGTATGTGCACGGGAATGAATCTATAATGTCTAGCTATACTTTAATGTGAGACGCTTCTCTGATATTGATGCAGAGTTATTATAGAGTATTAAAATTTAAAGACTTATTCATAATCCTTTTCCTTTTATATTTTCCCAGACAGCTTGTATCGATAGATGTCAGGTGTTTTGGGTGTTTTGTGTGTGTATTTGTTTTAGATGTACTGTTTTTCAGGTCTACTTCTCTGAAGTAAGATGACTTGTCAAAATTTCTGTGTGGCTTTGTTACATTGGGGTAAGTAATTAGCTTTTTAAATGTCCGTATATAAGAGATTTTGCCCTTAAGGATCCTGTTTCTTTTATTGGCTAGCAGAATTTCCTGTCTGCAGTTAGAAATTCTCATGCTCATGTATAAAAATACAAACCAAACAAAAGTGTAAGTGTGAAAATGAAAACCCTTCTCAATCTCCTGGACCAACCTGATGTGTAGCTTTCCAGAACTATAACACACACAAACATACACAATTCGTGTCTATGGTTGCAAAAATGGAATTGGTCTATGTCTATTGTTCTGTGTTTTTCTGCTTAATAGCTTTTCAATTTATCATGACAACTTTTTTTTTTTTTTACTGAGTACTTACTGATATGCTTATTCATTTAATGGTTGCATAACAAAGAACTTATGACTATACCTTAAATTATTAATTTACTTGACCAATTCCCCATTGATAGACATTTCTTTATCTGTAACAAATAATGCTGCATTGAAATCCATACATATATCTTTGTATATTTGGAAGAATATTCCTGTTGATTAATTATTAGAGAGGACTTTCTATGTTAAATAGTATGCACATTTAAAAATTTGATAGGTACTGTGAAATCTTCTCCACAAAATTTCGTACCATTTGCAGTACCAACACAAAGTACATGAATGCTATCCCTTGCATTTCTGTCAAAGATGTATATGATCATTCTTCCACGTTTTTGCCCTGTCAGATAAGGAAAACATGACATCTCATTTCAGTTTTATTTACTTGATTATTTGTGAGGTTGAGCACTGTTTATTGACAATTTATATTTCTTTTTTTAAAAAAATTTTGTTATGTTAATCACCATATATTACATCATTAGTTTTTGATGTGTAGTGTTCCATGATTCATTATTTGCGTATAACACCCAGTGCTCCATGCAGAACGTTCCCTCTTTAATACCCATCACCAGACTAACCCATCCTCCCACCCCCCTTCCCTCTAGAACCCTCAGTTTGTTTTTCAGAGTCCATTGTCTCTCATGGTTCATCTGACAATTTATATTTCTTACGCAATTTTCTAAATCATGTACTTTGACCATTTTGTTGCTGGATTTTATCTTCATGAGTTTTCAAAATTTCTAAAATGTCACTGATATTTAGTACTGTATTAGTCAGGGTTCTCCAAAGAAACAGAACCAAGAGAATTTATAGAGAGAGAGAAAGAGATTTATTATAAAGTCTTGGCTCACAAGATGGTGGAGGTTGGGAAGTCCCATGACTGCAGTTGGTAGGCTAGAGAGCCAGGAGAGCCGATGGGATAAGTTCCAGTCTGGATACTGCAGGCTTAAGACCCAAGAAGAGCTGATGTTTCAGTTTGAGTCCAAAGGAAGGAAAAGACTGATGTCAGTCAGGCAGCTGGAATTCCCTCTAACTTAGCCTTTTTGTTCTATTCAGGTCTCCAATTGATCGATAAGGCCCGTCCACGTTAGGGAGGGCAATCTGCTTTTCTCATTTTACTGATTCAAATGTTAAGTTCATCCAGAGCATCCTCACAGACACACCCAAACTACTGTTTGACCAAATGACTGAGCACCCCATGGACCTGGACAAGTGACACATAACCTTAATCATCACAAACCCTTAACAATTTATTATGTTTTGCAAATTTTTTCTTCCTGCCCATTGTTTGCTACTTAACTTTGTTTTCTTTTACAGTACAGAAAGTTTATTTATGTACACTAACACCCTTATACATTTGTAGAAGGAAGATATGGTGATGCTTGAATGTTTTAATTTTAATTTAGTAAATGTAGCATTATTAAATTATAAATGTATATATATCAGATGATAGTTAAAACTAACTCTCTGTATCAAGGAGCAGTTTACTTGGTGGTAGTATGTAAAATATATCGCTATGACACAAAATAATGGATTTATTCTCAAATGGAAGGGAGATGCCATTTTAAAAGCTATTCCACATTATAACTCCAGTAGACAATGACAAGTGTAATGTTATAAGGGGATATTATCAAGGGATGATGTTTACATTGAAAATTTCCATCTTGAATACCACCAGAAGAAGAATTAAATGTATGCTAGTCTTCCTCCTACCCATTGCAGGAATATCCTTAAGAGAAAGCTTACAGATGATTTTTTAATGTCGTGATTTTAACTACTGTGAACCATAGCATGCTTCTGTTTGAAATTAGTCACCCATTGCCAATGACTTTTTAAAAAAGATTTTATGTATTTATTTGAGATAGAGAAAGAGCATGAGTGGGGGAGGGGGAGGGTCAGAGGGAGAGGGAGAAGCAGACTCCCCACTGAGCAGAGAGCCCAAGGCCTGGCTCCATCCCAGAACCTGGATTATGACTTGAGTGGAAGGCAGACACCTAAGCAACTGAGCCACCTAGGTACCCCACCAATGATTATTGAGCATACTATTCTCACTAGTTTCTTACTGACTTGTAGAGATATTTTGATTAAAAAAAAAAACAACCCTCAAATCATCTAATTTAGGCTCTGTTCCAAGTATTTTAAAATTAAAGTTAAGCTAAGGGTGCCTGGGTGGCTCAGTCAGTTAAGCATCTGCCTTCAGCTCAGGTCATGATCCCAGGGTCCTGGGATTGAGCCCTGCATCAGACTCCTTGCTGAGCAAGGAGCCTGCTTCTCCTTCTCCCTCTGCCTGCATCTCCCCCAGCTTGTGCTCTCTCTCTCTGTCAAGTAAATAAATAAAATATTTTTTTAAGAATTTTTTTTTAAAGATTTTATTTATTTATTCATAAGAGACAGAGAGAGAGAGAGAGGCAGTGGGAGAAGCAGGCTCCCCGCTGAGCAGGGAGCCCGATGTGGGACTCGATCCCAGGACCCTGGGATCATGACCCGAGCCGAAGGCAGACGTCTAACCATCTGAGCCACCCAGGCGCCCATAAATAAAATCTTAAAAAAAAACTAAAGTCAGGCTATTTTTAACAAAACCCATTTTATCTGGCAACCATATTGAGAGATTATCCAGCTGTCCACCTGTGTGTTCTAAGCATCTCCTTGGCTAATCCAATCTGAAGGTGCTCTTAAGAGTTTCTCTACAAGTCTTCCTTGTGCATACTGTTCGTTCTCCTTGTAGCCATCTATATATTTACAGAAGATACCCAGCATAACTCCACTGTTAACAGATTTCAAAAAAACGATGCCACAAGGGACTATCAAAAAGTAACAACATACTCATTCTCTCTTATATTTTCTAATTTTTATTAGGCTCCGCTCAATGTGTTTCACATTGGCTTTCTGAAAGGTTTGTTGTTTGATGAAGTTTTGTGAATCACAAGAGTTCTTGGGATGTTGTTACCATGATAACATATGCCTTCAGATAAAATTCTGGACTCCTGGCTGTTTAGGGTTCATCTGGAGGGAAAGAAATATTATTTGCAAAAGAAGCATGCAAAATAGAACCATCTTTTAATTAAACTGATTCAATAGTTGCTATGTCTATGACATTCATTATTACATTTTACATTTCAAATACTTCTTTGAGGATTTTAGGCTCATTTCAGTTCAGCCAACTAAATATTCTATGTGCAGCTAGAAAATGTGCTTTTAATTAACACCAACAAATATTCATAGTTTTGTAAAATCAAAGAAATAACCTATTTTTATTGACATGTGCTAATTTCAGAAACATATGTTAGAAAGATGAAGTCCAAAGGAACACAATTGTAATGAGGAGTCACTTTTGGTGATATTATGATACCTAATTGTTATCAGTGTGGGCAAAGTATTAGTCATGTTAGTCATGTTTGCTTTAATTTTTGCATCTGATATATTTTTGTTAGTTTATTTTTATGGAGAAGTTTAGAAATCAAACTTTAACAGTCATTACCTATATATTGTTTAGATATTTTCATATATATTACCTTTATGATTTAAAACATTTTTTGTGAATTGATTTTTTAAAAATTGCTATTTTCTTACATTTTTACATTTACCCTAATTCTTCAGAATTCTCATTCCATGAAAGTCCATGCAAAATTCTCCAAATTCTCATTCTGCTTTGGTTTGTATGTGAGGCAACACGGCTGTTGAATTATATGAGTAGCTTGTAAAAGAAAGAATTATTGGGGCGCCTGGGTGGCTCAATCATTAAGCATCTGCCTTTGGCTCAGGTCATGATCCCAGGGTCCTGGGATCGAGCCCCACATCGGGCTCCCTGCTCAGAGGGGAAAAGCCTGCTTCTCCCTCTCCTCCTCCTGCTTGTGTTCCCTCTCTCACTGTGTCTCTCTCTGTCAAATAAATAAATAAAATCTTTAAAAAAAAAGAAAGAATTATTGAGAATTAATTATTTTATTTTCAAACAATTACTTATTAAAAAAACAAGTACCACTTTTGAGAATTTTGGGGGTATGAGATTATATAATTATTCTTAATTTTTATATGTCAAAAAATGAAATGAATTGTCTTTAATCAGCAATGGAATATTCCTGTCATTGTACATTGATTCTTGGAGAGTGCATTAAAGACATGTCTTAGACAGTGTCATATATCTGAGGATCATGGGTAGATTCAAGAGATTATCCAGCTGTCCTGATACTGAAGAAAAACCCTTTCTAAAAACACTTGTAGTGCTAACATTTTGGTATTATTTTCTTTAAGAAATATTAAAACAGCACTTTAATATTTGTTTATATAATTGCACATCCAGATATTTCCCACTTATACTGGAAGTTCATTAGAATAATTTTTTTAGAAAAAGTAATTGAAATATTTAGCTATAATTTTTTCATTAAAATATAAATATAGAAGGCTAGATTAATCAGGAAAATGAAGCATGAATTTCCAAAAAGAGGTGCTAACGGATGAAGTTATCTCAGTAAATTAATGTACCTTCCATTGTATAATGGAAGCACAGAGCTCTGCATCAGGCAGAGACTGAACAAGTAGAAAGTTAAATAATTGAGCACTACATGGTTTAATCTTAGATACTTCCTATTTATGTCTTAGTCAAAATGATTGTTTTTCTGTGTGTCTTTTTAATATCCTAACAGAATTTATTTATTTGACAAGTGCATTTAACTTGGCATATCCGATCACTCCCTGGAGATTTAAGCTGTCTTGCATGCCAACAAATACAACCTATGACTTCCTCTTGCCAACCGGAATCTCAAAGAACACTTCCAATTTGAGTGAACATTATGAGGCAGTGGTCAAAGCTAAATTGAATTCGAGTACTACCTACTTTTCTAACTTATCCTCCAAAACAACTTTCCACTGTTGCTTTTGGAGCAAGGAAGATAAAAACTGTTCTGTACATGCAGACAACATTGAAGGGAAGGCATTTGTTTCAACAGTGAATTCTTTAGTTTTTCAACAAATAGGTAAGTATATTGATGTTCCAAGCATTACCTATTAACTGTTTTAAACAAAATGTTTTCATTCTCTGAAACCTGTATGAAATAGATGTAATATGGATGGGATTCTTAATACATATCATCATTTTATATAGTAATAAAATTATGATTCATCATGTGACAAAACTAATGAGCCCCAAATTATTTTATATCTTATAAAAATGCAATGAGGGAACTTTTTTTACCTATAAATCCATTTCTTGTAATCTTCTAAATTTGCTTTAAAATAGAAAAAGCACACCTCATTTTGTTGAATAGATAAAATATTCAAAATATTCAACCTTTGGGGGTGCCTGGGTGGCTCAGTAGGTTAAGTGTTTGCCTTCGGCTCAGGTCATGATCTCAGGGTCCTGGGATTGAGCCACTTGTCGGGCTCCCTGCTCAGTGCAGAGTCTGCTTCTCCCTCTCCCTCTGCCTTTCCCTGACCCCCGGCTCGTGTTCTCTGTCTGTCTGTCTGTCTCTCTGTCTCTAATAAATAAATAAAATCTTGAAAAAATATTGAACTGTTGAATTCAATTTTAAAACACTTATGAGTAATATTTGTTCAAGCGAGGAATCTCTCTGTAGCCAATTATGTATTTTAAATCAAGGGGTGTTTTGTTGTTTAAGTATAATGCATACTGAATGTGGCTAGGGTAGTTAATAATTCTGCATCTGGAAATCAAAACCAAAAAATTATTTCCAAGCCTTCTGGAAAAGCTAACAGAGCAGAGTCAGTTGATTCAGTAATACAAAGAGACCTACAATATGAAAACAGAGGCACACGTAAGTATAGCAGTCCTATAAAGAGTTAATCAGAATTTCTCACTCTCAACATTATTAACATTTTGGGCCAGACAATTCTTGGTTATGGGGGCTGTTCTGTGCATTGTAGGATGTTTAGCAACATCCCTGGCTTCTGCCTCTTAGAATCAGTAGCTCCTTCCTCAAAACATATCTCCAAACATAGTCAGATGCCCCCGAGGGCCAAATTGCCCCTGGTTGAGTATCAATGATTAGATGGAAGAAACATTCCAGTTTATTGAAATCAGCTTAGGAATAAGAATAAAGCATAAATATAAAATCAGAGTTTTAAAACAAGTTAGTAGTAATAACTCCTAGTGTCTCCAAATGATTCTATGGCCTTTAATTAATACAATTCATTTAATTTTAAATGAGGCATTTTTTTTTTCATTTGTAGGGGAACTTAGCCATTTGGCGATTATTAAATATATCAAGGATGAATTTAATAAGGCAAGGTCTTTGTGATGAGCTTTGAAATGATCAAAAAATCTTAGTACTTTCTTCAGTTTTCAAAAGGAGTGATTATGATGCTGTAGATTTAAATTTTACACATAAATAAAGCTTGTATAACTAGTCACTTCTTAGTGAGTTTAACTAAAATTAGTAGGTTAAGTGGTGGTTACTGAGGATTTCAACTGATTATTCTACCAGGCATGCTGTTTACTTCATAAGGGCTCAACAGTGTTATAAAATCCCTACCAGCTAGAAATCCTTCAGGTTTGGGGAAATATGTTAGCATTGTTTTACATTAGCCATTATTTCTAGTTTTTGCTATTCTTGCTTTTTAAATTACAAATCACCGATAATTTATTACCAGGTGAGTTTTTCAGTGCATGGTGAAGTACACTTGCATTGGTTGTATTTGGGGCCTATAATATTACAATAACAAGATTTTAAGACATGAATCATAGTTCACATGTGAATCACTGTGCTTTTATTGCTAAAGCAGACACATAAATACTGCTCCACATTTGCTGGTACCTTGATATTGAATATTTTCTTTTCTCCTGGAAAGCAAGCATGAACTGAGCTAGGTGACTTTTGAGGTCTTTTTGTCCTACTTAAGTAGTTCAAGATTAAAAAAAAAAAAAAGTTTGAGAATTTAACTGTCTTATTTTACCTAAAAGGAAACTGGGGGCCTCAGGAGCTAAGTGACTTGGGCAGATACATACCACTGGTTAGAGCTGGTTCTTTTTCTCTCAGAATAGGTAATGGAAATTGTATCAGAACACTGGTAAATTTAATTTAGTTCTTCTCTTTCACTGAGTTATTCAGAATGTTTTTCAGATTTAATGTAGTTTATTTTTAATTCAGGTGCAAACTGGAACATACAGTGCTGGATGAAAGAGGACTTGAAATTATTCATCTGTTATATGGAGACATTATTTAAGAATCCTTTCAAGACTTATGACCTGAAAGTCCACCTTTTATATATTCTGTAAGTACCAAATAAATTAATTTGGAAATTTCAACAACACAATTTTTTTTTAATGCAAGAGCTTTCGTATACAGAAGTGGATTATGAAAACTCTCCTCTCCTTATATTTCCTTTTGCATGTATGTACATTTCTAGAAGGCAGTTTTATATATTTTTCATGCAGTATTCATCTCTGTTAGGTTTCCTCTTTGCTCCTCCTGTTGATTAAGGTAGCAAGCCACTGCAGTTATGGATGGGCATATTCTGAAAGAAGGATGAACTCAGTTCAGGAGTCTTAGATATCTGAGTGAGGGGAAAAAGTTATTATACATTTCTTTTTCAGGTAGATTTTTTTTCTCATCTTTGATCATTTTATTAGCTTAAAAATATAAGTGCTCAATATTTATTTGTGTGGCTAGAGAGCCAAGATGGTGGTTTTAAATAGCCATACACTTATAATTCCAGCTAAGACATCATTCAAGTTTTCTAAAAACTCTAGTGATAATACATATCATTTCTATGTGAATTTTAGCTCTTTAAAATTTTTTTTCTAATTTGTTCTTTTCTGTGATGCTTAAGGAGAAAGAGACTAATTTCTTTCAGTTCTACAGTTTTTGAGATCATACCATTGAGGGGTGATGTACTAGAAACTGTCCATATAAACATGAGTCAAGATAGGAAGTAGAATGGTGGTTACCGGGGACTTAGGGTGGGGGTAATGGGGAGTTCTTGTTTAAATATGTGCAGAGTTTCAGTTTGGGACGGTGAGAAGAGTTCTGAAGCTGGATGGTGGTGATGATTACCCGACCATGTGAATATACTACTGTCACTGACTGTACACTCAAAATGGTAAATTTTATGTTATGTAAATTTTAAATAAAATAATTATATTAATTATATATTTAGAACAATCATATTTTAAATTAAAATAATTTATTTTTTTAATTTAAATTCAATTAGCCAGCATATAATATATCCTTGTAAATTAAAATAATTTTAAAAAAGAAACTTAAAGATGTTAAAAAAAGAAGAGTTATGATCTCTGTCTTGGAGGCATCACAGGCTAGTGGTTGGGGCAGACATGCACATGGCTTCAGTTTTAGTGGTTACTGTTGTATGTTGGGTAGGTACATGAAACTGTGGGAGCACAAGATTGCTGTGGAAGCCTTAGGTGGGGTCTAGTGCCGCTGAATTCTAGATGACCCTGGAAGCCCCTACTAGCCCCTGCTTCTTTGTGCAATTCTCTTTAGGGCCAAGGTCCAGAATGGGACTATCTGGTGAGAATGTGCTCCTAGCTGCCACTGTTGGAGCTGTACGAAATGTTAGATTTTCCAGACAAATGCTGGGCAGCCAGGAAACCCTGATACATGTTCACAACAGAAATGACTGAGCTATAGATCTCTAGAGGCCCACAAAGTAACTGAGGTTGTAAAGTGGGAAGGTTGGAGTAATAATTGGTAAAGCACAGCCAAGGGTGGACATTTAAAGGACAGGAAAGAATGAGCTTATTTCGAGTCTGTAGATAATGACCCAGCAAGGGGAGAAAGGTTGAAGATAGGGTGGGAGGGGACCCATTCAAGATCTATGACAGAGAGTGAATATGTAAATAAGCAAGTTCCAGGAAAAGAGCACAGATGGAAGGTTCGTCTCAAAATGAAGGAGGCTCACTTCAACTGTAAGTAATGAGGAAAGAAAGGAAGCGCTCTTTTGGATGGAGATATATTTGAAATTTGGAGTAGAAAATTTCCTGCTTTATTGAGCAAAATAGATTTTAGCTCAGAGAAAAGAATTCCTTTGCAATGTAGCACATTCCTACGATGACCTAAATATTTTGGATGGTGATCAGAAATTCTCTGGGTGCCTATTCAAGACAATTTCAAACATTATCAGGAAGCTAGGGCAGTGTGTTTGGGGTTAAAGCACTGTGGCTATGTGTAAGGATTTAAATTTTATTATGTATAGGTTATAGTTATGTCTTGAGGTATGCATTTTCAGAAAAAGATACACATGAATATATCAGAACATTACAAAATTGCACAGTAACTTAGCTACAGCTGAGAATTTTCACTTCACTTCACTCAGCCAAGTAGCCACTGGTCTATTCATCTAAATTGTCAGACCCAGAAAAATGAGAAAATAATGATACATTAACTAGATTTTTAACTTGTTCATATGATGAATTTAGCAGATTCTTTTGACCTGCTTTTATTTTATTATTATTATTATTATTTTTAGAAAGGGAGAGAGAGAAGGTGGGGGAGGTACAGAGGAAGAGGGAGAGAGAGAATCTTTTTTTTAAAAAAATATTTTATTTATTTACTTGACAGAGAGAGAAACAGGAGAGAGGGAACACAAGCAGGGGGAGTGGGAGAGGGAAAAGCAGGCTTCCCGCCAAGCAGGGAGCCCGATGCTGGGCTTGATCCCAGAACCCTGGGATCATGACCTGTGCCAAAGGCAGATGCTTAATGGCTGAGCCACCCAGGGGTCCCAGGGAAAGAGAATCTTAAGCAGACTTCATGCCCAGCATGGAGCCTGACTCAGGGCACCATCTCACGACCCTGAGATCATGACCTGAGCGGAAATCTTAACTGACTGAGCCACCCAGGCTCCCTGATCTGCTTTTATTTTGAACTCAGGTTTCTAAAAATATCAGCACAGGAAAACTTATCACAATTGCATGCAATTTGAGAAACATTGTGGGTTTTTTTCTTTTTTTCCCCCCCACATTAATTGTTCTCTCCTTTATACAATTTGGTTAATATGTCCATTTTACTCATTGTTACATGCTGTTTCTGTCTTGAATTCTGTTGTGTGCATCTTTGGGCACTATGTCTCCAAATAATTTAAATAAGAAATTTCATATGAGGAGGAAGAGATGGTCAGTATAATGAACAAGACCTCCATGGGAGGGAAAATACATAAAGGTCGTTACTGTAAGAAGAATTTTTAAATCAATATCCCCTTCTCCAGACATTAGAGAATTCTTGAGAGAAATCTTTCAAATGCTTCCATGTGTAAATAAGTATGTTTTTTAAAAGAACTAAAATCTAATGTTTATAAGGGATTTAAAGCCCTATGAATATGTCCCAAGGGAAAGCATTGTTTGAGCTCAGATATTAATGTTTGTAAAGAATCCAAAAGGAGAGATACCATAGAAATGTGCTATTTATAACTGCTTTATCTTTGACCGGAAGAGAAATCCTTTTCTTCCATTATGAGATGTCTGCTGTGTGCACCAGCCACTGAGCTGAGGGTGGGCAACCATGTTGAACAGCTCAGACACAGCCCTTGCCCTCCTGGAGCTAACAGTGAAGACGAGGAGCATAACAAAGTTTGAAATCACTTTGGTGAAATAAACACAGGGACTTGTGAAAACATATACAGACAGGCAGCAGAAGTATCTGTCTGGATTACGAGGGGACACAGGACGAACCAGGTAGAGTGAGGAGCATTTGCAAGGTCCCACAGTCACATCTGAACATTTGAGGATATGAAAAGGTAAGTCTGGTTGGGTTATAAAGCTGGGGAATGGTGAGAAATGGAGATGGATGAATAAGTGAGGGTCATCCAAGGGGTTTGGACTTCTGTAACTGTTAACCCCTGCTTTACTTTTTCTCTTTACTATTCCCGCATCAGCGTTCTTGGTGATTTCCATGTCCATATAGATGATCTTCAATTTCTTGAAGGCTTTACTTTCCCTATTCTTGTTTCTTCACCCCGTCTAGTTCACCCATTCTCGTGGACCTACTCCAGACCTTGCCATTACTGGTAAGCATGCTCTGTCTGTAATTTCAGTTTCAAGGATCCCACTCTCTGACCATCTCCCCCTCCTCCTAACCTTAGGCTTATTCCCTCTATTACCTCAACCTCAGGAATAATTCTCTGTGTTTCTTGGCTCTGCCTTCTGAGTTTCTTTTTCCTGAAGGGCTGCACATCTCTGCAATGGAGGGGGGGTGTTCCTCAGCATGCCTCCTGTCAGCACAGTTTGAGAATCCAATGGCTTCGTTTCATTTTGTACCCTTTCAGTCTGAGCTAGTAGTGTTTCTGCTACCATGTTCTCTCACAAGAACACACAGCCTCCTGTGAATCTCACTGGGGTTCACCCCATTAGATAAAAGCCCAAAGATCTCTTAGAGATAAGCCCTCCTCTACCTTCTCTTTGATCTTTGCTTGGAAGCCATTTTCTGGCGGTGACATCTTCGCCATCTCTAACGGCTAGGCATCTCGCAGCTCTCAAGTCTTGGTTTCTTGTGTTTAACAGCCCTTTGCTCAATGTGTATCTCTCCTCTTGTGGCAAGAAGAAACCAAGAGGCCACCTTCAAACACCTGCCTGGCAATTTCCTGCAGCAGATCGCCCAGTTCAGGAGGCACACGCTATGTGCGACTTAGCTTTCTGCCCCTACATAAGATTCTCTTTCCTCCAGTTTCCAGTCCATGTTCCTCACTTCCTCTTGTGCCCTCACTGGCAGTATCCTCAAACTCCACATTTCCACTCGAGTCTGTTCAAGGCAATTTAGGCTTTCTTTAGCATGCTTCTCCAAATTGTTCCAGCCTCTGTCTGTCGCCTGGTTCTAAAGCCACTCCCACATTTTTAGGTGTATTTGTATGGCAGCATCCCATTTCCAGGTACCAATACCTGCCTCGGTTATCTATGCTATATAATAAGCTACCCCAAGTTTAGTGGCTTAAAACAACAATCACTTATCATCTCACAGGCCATGTGGGTCAGGAATCCAGGTGCAGCTTAGCTGGGAACATGTGCCTCGAGGTCTTTCATAAGGTTGCAATGAAGATGTCAGCTAGAACTGCAGTTATTTCAAGGCTTAATTTCAGGAGAATCTGTTCCCAGGCTTCCAAGTTCCTCATGGGCCATTGGACGGAAGGCCTAAGTTCCTCCCCGGCTGGGACTGGAGGTCTCCTTCATTTGCTTGTCATGTGGATTTCTCCATAGGGTACACTACAACCTGGCTGCTGGCTTCCCTGAGAGAGAGCCAGAGACACTCCCTGATGACCTTGCTTTT